GGAAGGAAGGAAGGAAGGAAGGAAGGAAGGAAGGAAGGAAGGAAGAAGGGAAGAAGGGAGGGAAGGAGTAAAGGGAGGGAGGGAGGTAGGAAGGAAGGAAGGAAGGAAGGAAGGAAGGAAGGAAGGAAGGGAGGGAGGGAGTAAAAGGAGGGAGGGGGAGGATGGGAGGAAGGAAGGAAGGAAGGAAGGAAGGAAGGAAGGAAGGAAGGAAGGAAGGAAGAGAAATGGAATTCAGAGCAAAGTGTGGTTTTAAGCAATTCTTAGGGGAGGCTGGAGAAGCTAAGGCTGACTTGCTTCTATCTGCTCTGCACGTCACCCTCCACCACTCTTGTGACATGTCCCATACCCCTGCTTGGGCTATGATTCCCCAACTTTCTCACTTGGTGTGCCTAGATATTAGCTTTCCTGGAAACTCAGATAAACTGATCCCTTTTCCACAATGATCAGCCTTAACTGATGACCTGATCTGGTAGCCAAAACTCTCCTGAGGTTCCATAGACTGTGCTTCAAATTTATTTTCAATTTGGTTTTCCCCACAGCATCCAAAATGTCACCAGGTCCATAGCAGATTCCCAATCAATATTGCATGAAAATGAGAGAGAAAAAACTACTACCTGCACTGATTCTTTTTTTCTCTTTTTAATTTTATTTTCATAAAGTTGTTCACAGTAGTTCGTTACATTCAATATTTCAAGAAGAATCCCATCACCACCATATTTTGAATTTTCCTACCTGTAGGATAACATTGGTTTGTCCTTTCCACCTGCCACAGGGAGCTTGGGTTTATTGGGTTACTCCCATCACAGTGCTGCCATTCCTCTGTGTTTACTTGTAACTTTCTTTGTGCTCTGTTGACTTGTAAATATTGTTTTTCCTCTTCTCCTTAAGTCCATTGCATAGTTAATTCAGAGCAAAGTCCTTTTTGTATAGACACAGGAGACAGTTAAAAAGACATGCTTTTGTAACTTGGGAATTAATTAACTCCAAATGATAATTCACCCCTGGGCATCTGTTCTCTTGACCTAAGCCTCAGTTGCCCTTACTTCCTAGCATCTCAAATGCAGGGTCCCGAAGAGGGACTGGATGGACTCAGGGCAAACTGTGAACTATATGCTACCCTGGCATCGAAAAGGGCCTGACCAAAGTGCCATAATGCTTAACTATAAATTAAGAGCATGGCTATGGCCAAATGCTGTCATGATCTAAAAAGTGATAACTAGATTTGGACCCTGCTAGGGTTAGGAATGATTAATCCGGCCTGAGCATTAGTCTGAGTCTGTGGCAAGATGTCCCCAGGAGAACCACCCTACAAGCTCAATATATCTCTTACTATGTCCATACAAAATAACTAATATTCAGAAGTAGAATTAAGATGTTAATTAAGTTATTGGACTAAGGAAAGGATAAAAACACCTTAAGTGGTACTTTGCCCATGAGCAAAGGAAGGGCTTTCTTATATTGATTTTGCTGCCAGACAAGGTGTGGTGACTAGCCCCAATGCGGGGGGTTGGAGAGCCGAGGAAGAGACCAAGGCAACAAGATGGAGCGTGGAAAGACTAACAAGGGGGACAGAGGGAGAAGAATGTAGGGGAAGAATGCAGGAGCAGGCATGTGGAGAGACGAGAGACAGGGCTGTTAGAGGGAGCTTGGAGAGTTGAGCCGGATCGACAGGAGGAGACAGAAATGGGGACAGTGTGAGACTAGAATGGGGAGCTTAGTGAGACTGGAACAGTCGCATGGGAAGAATGGACTAAATAGCAACTGATCATTAACCGGCTTGGTCCTTGTTTCCTCCTTCATCCACCCCTTGGCCTGGGCTGCCCTGAGGGGGAGCAGCCCAAGTCCACTGAACCTGGGTGGCAAGAGAGAGAGCCACCAGGGACACCTACCACCACCTAAGCCTGCCCCAAAGGCAGATGCTAAATAATTTATTTTATATTATTTGTTATAATTGACTGCCTGGAAGCACAGGGAGGTGGGAGGAAGAGCCCATTCTCGGCTCTGTGCAAGCCTGGAGATTTCAGTCACAAGTCATGCATACCAGGGTTTTTTCGGTGTATACATTCTCAGCGTGGGGGGTCGGAACGAGCCTGTGAAGGTCTGCTGTGAACATGATCGTGATTGGGTTCTGGAGGTTTGCGGCTGCTGGGCTTCTTATGGGGTAGGTGGAGGGAAATACCTGCCCCGCCTCCGAGGCTCCCTGATGAAGTCAGCCTGGAACAGGCTAACGAGACATCTCTGCAGACTGTTGCTCTCTTCCGAGATTTATTTGTGAGTCTCTGCATGTATTGATTCTTAAAAAAGAAAGAATCAGCACCATTCCATGAGAAGAGCCAAAGAAGCAGACACTGGGCTATTTTAGGCAAGTATCAAATCTCTGGTGACGTTGCCTTTCTGAGTAAGCAGATCTGAACTCTGGCCACATGTGGATCCGACCATTCAGTCTTCCCTCTTTGCTCTGAAATGTGTGGCAATCTAGGACTGACAACAATAGGAGATACCCCAGATACAAAAGAATCTGGCTACAAACAGCTGCAAACAGCTTATCAATCCTATGAACCCCACAAATCTTCCAGTCAGTGCCTGGATTTGTTCATTTCAAAATAATAAAAACTTGGACCTTCAATTATTACACTATTTCCTCTGGGTCATAAAGCATGATAATTTCGGAAGGTCAGCCCAGAACAAAAACCAAGAAGGGAGGAAGGAGACAGTATCAAGTGGAAGTTGAGAAGCAGAGTACTATTTTAATTCCCATATCAATTCATTTGCACTCCATATAAGCATTAACACTACAAAACATTTGCTAGGCTCAGTGGAGGGGTGAAGAAGCAACCTCACTAAAGCCACCAGAGAACTGTCATCTAACTGGCCCCAGACCTTATTGCTCTGTTAATCATTATGTTAAGGCTTCTACTTCCTGCTAGCTTCAGGCCCCTAGCAGCACTTCTCAGGAGCCAAAGCATTTCTGTACTCAAGCTCACTGTGATCTAACAAAAAGCCTCAATCTGGCTTAGTCAAGAAGGCTTCTGGTGCTATTCCTATTTTACATTTGAGGAACTGAGAAGGTGAAAAGTTGAATGATGAATCCAAAGTCACAAGTAAGCAATGAGACCTGAACTGGGACCAGTTCCTTCAGAACACTTTCCAGAGTTAAGTGTCCTTTTTCTCCCTGCCTCAAGCACTCTCTCCATCTCCCCTGTGTATCTATAGCATTCTATTCTAACAATAACCTCCACAGGTTTCCGGAGACATTGCCTTCTCTTAAGGCAACCTCTGACTTACCAAAGTTTTAGCCCCATCATACCAAATGCCTGACCCAGTAAAGCTGTTCAGTAAATGTGTTGAGCTAAACTGTGCTAAAACCAAGATTCTTCAGTCCAGTCTCCTAGCACTAGAATCTATTCCTGTCTAAAAGTGAAATTCAGACTGAAAAAAAAATTATAAAGCCATTGAAGATGATTTGGAAGAGAATGATCTTTTTTTTGGCTTTTTTGGGGTCACACTGGGTGATGCACCAGAGTTACTCCTGGTTCTGCACTCCGGAATTACTCCTGGCGGTGCTTGGAGGACCATATAGGATGTTGGGAAGACATCCTAGGTCGGCTGTGTGCAAGGCAAATGCCTTACTCGCTGTTCTATTGCTCCAGCCCCGATCCTTATTTTCAAAGTAGAATAGTCTTTTAGTTCTTAGGTAATCACAAGTTACATTTTTATTTCTTTAGCATGTATTTCACCAGATGAGATTATAAGCACTTTAATATTGGCTTGTAATTTTTTTCTTATCTTATTTTGGGAGAAATCTTTTTTCTATTTTATTTATTTATTTATTGCTTTTTGGGTCACACCCAGCAATATACAGGGGTTACTGCTGGCTCTGCAGTCAGGAATTACTCCTGGTGGTGCTCAGGGGACAATAATGGAATGCTGGGAATCGAACCCGGGTGGGCCATGTCCAAGACTGGCCTACCCGCTGTGCTGTTGCTCCAGCCCCAAAATCTTTTTTTCTAATGGTTCCAAAACCTGTTAAATGTACACAAATATCTTAACAGTCAAACATCAAACTACTCTACTTTAAATCTCCTTACTGTTGGTTATTTAAATTGTTTCTGATCTCGGGAGCTGGGGGAGAGGTTTTGACTTTTTAATTATTATAGTGAATCTATAGTGAAAAATTGTTGTAATTAAATCTATATAAATTCCCACTTTGGGGGATAAAAAATCTTCAGAGTTGTTTGTTAATCGAGTACTGTTTGAATCTCAGAAAGAATATAGCTTGAGGCCTTTTGCTTTTTTAAAATGTGGGTCACTTCCAGTAATACTATTTAAAATAACACAGTTTGTAGTTTTACTTTTACTCATTTTATTTTCTGCTTGGGGTCTCCCCAGTGGTGCTGAGGCTCATCAGGGTTACCATGCTTGAAGACTTCGAGCGGGCACCAGTAATGTCTCCATTGTGAGACTTGTTGTTACTGTTTTTGGCATATCAAATACGCCACTTGCCAGGCTCTGCTGTGTGGGCGGGATGCTCTCAGTAGCTTGCCAGGCTCTCTGAGTGGGATCAAACCCAGGGTTGGCCGCATGCAAGGCAAATACCCTACCCACTGGGCTATCGTCCCAGTCCATGCTGTACAAATATTGCATCCAGGTCCCATGCCTACTAGCCATGCAGTCCAGTCATGTGAGCTATATCTCTCTGAGCGCAAAGTTCCTTTGAGTAGTGATAATAGGATACATGTACAGGGATTGGAAGAATTACCAACTTTAACTCAAATGGGTACCTGAACAATTCTGGATTCCAGGTAGTCTTTCTGTCAGCACCACCCCTATATACTAAATCATTGGTTTTATCACAACTACCTATTACCATGCACTGAATATGTATTTTTGTTCACTCCTCATTTGTCTTTTATAATAAGTAAAAAAAAAACTCTACTTTTTCATGAATATGGTGCCAAAAACAAAGAAGGAGCCCTACCACCTTCTAAAGTTGAAGTAAAATGAAAGGCATTGAAGGCCAAGAAAGCAGTATTGAAAGGACACAGAAAAAAAAAAAGATTCACACTTTACCCATCTTCCGAGGATGCGAGATTTTGCAGCTGAGAAAGCAACGCAAACATCCTCAGAAGAATGCTCCCAGGAGAAATCAGCTTGGCCACTATGCCATCATCAAGTTCCCTCTGACCCCCGAGTCAGCTGTGAAGAAGAGAGAAGACATTCTGGAGGTCAAGGCCCATCAGCTCCAAATTAAACAAGCTGTGAAGAAGCTCTATGACATTGACATGACCAAGGTCAGCCCCCTAATGGTACCTGATGAAGAGAAGAAGGCATGTGTTTGGCTGACTCTTGATTAGGACGCCTTGGATGTTGCCAACAAAATTGGTATCATTTAAACTGAGTTCAGCTGACTAATTCTAAATACCCTTGTGTGTGTGTGTGCATGCATTCTTCCCATAAAAAAAAGTCCATCCCTATGAACAATTTCAGAAATTATTATAGCTGCAAGTGAGTTACTTTAACTTCTTTGTGCCTCGATTTCTTTATCCAGGTTAAAAATTTGAAATGAGACAATTAAGTCCTTGAAAGGTCTAGTTAGAAAGGAAATGTGATAAGTGATTCAGAAAATAGCTTTGAACTGTGACACTCATTAGTGGTTCTGCTACAAGTACTACTGGGTATGAGCTGTGAAGCCTTAAAGAATTTCATGAGTTTCTCAGGATCTCTGAGAAATTCTTGTATCTGCAAAATGGAGATAATGAAAGTCTAGGGTGTGGTAGGGAGCAAATGAGGTAATTTGGACACAATGCCTGCCTAGCATCTGGTATCCTTTCAATAAATGCTGCCTCTTACCGCGAGTAGCAGGCACTGGAGAGCCAGCCCTGGAAGGATTTTCATGAAGCCCCTCTCTAGTGCTGCTTGGAGGAAACTAGCACATGTGCATGTGTTTTTCACCTGAAAAGCAGGTATAAGACTTAGCTGATACTAGGATAGCTCAGTTCCTAAACCAGAGATCTGGGATTAGGGAAGAGTTTCTTTATTTTTGTCATTTCGACAAGTTGGCTTCTCTGACTCTTTTTCGGAAAATGGACGTTAGGATAGGAGTGTTGGGAGGGTTTTCCCAATAAGCATTACCCACTACATAACTATAATTTTTCCCAGACTCTTATCTCCCAGTGTTGCCCACTTAACCCAAGAGAAATTCTGATAATTCTGAACCCAGCTGCCAGGCCAGCAGTCATCTGTTTAGAACTTCAAATGAATGCCCCAGACCCGCCTACTTTCTCCACATACTGCAGCAAGATAAGTCTCCCCTGGCTGCTGATAAATGCTTTGAAGAACATCTTGTCTGTTAACAAACAGCTTTTGATTGTGCCTGAGCTTGATCTTTATTCTGTTCTTATTCATCAGACCCCTTTAAATGGGTTCTTTCACACTCTTCAGATTAGCCTCAAGGAAACCCCAGGAAACAATGGGTCCAATTCTCCCTGGGTGCAGAGAGTGGGCTGTCAAAAGACCACATAGGGCCCTCTGTAGGGCTGGGAGTAGAAAGAGGGGTTGATGTAGCCAGCCCTCATGAAAGGGAATTAGGCTAGATTCAAAAGCAGTGAGGTGTAGTAGAAAAGCAGAAAGGCAGTACACAGCCCTCAACCCGGGATGATGATCTTCATTTATTTTCAGAGAAAGCTTGTTTCCCTCAGACATGGGCAATTTCTTCCCAGAGAAGCCCGGGGTCATCATTAGTGTCCAGCACACCAGAGCTGACCTCCCACTGATAGAACAGATGACCAGCAAGAAAGATGGAGGAGTAGAAAGTTCACCATCTCCAAAGCTGGTGTGCTTCTGAAAGTATTCTCTTCAGACTTTCTTTCTTTGAGGAAATGAGCTAATTCCTCTGACCCAGAGAAGGACAAAGGCCTCTCCCACCTTAGCAGCTGGTACAAAGCGTACAGTGACCCTTTCGAATCCATTCCTCTGACCACTGATTGATTCAGTAGTGGAACCATGGAGCTCAGCAGAGGGATAGAGTCCCAACATTCTTATTGAACACCAGCTCCTCAGCTCTCAAGATACTTGGTTTGCTGCCCACTCTCAAATCCACACTTGTGGCTTCTTGTTGGTACTGTAAGAACCTAATAGGCTTCCCTTAACTGATTAAAATAGAGTTGGTCACAGATTTTTTTTGGGGGGTGGAAAAGTAAGGGGAGGGGCATACCCAGCAGGGCTCTGTGCTCAGGGGTCACTCCTGGGGATGCTCAGGGGAACATATGGGGTACTGGGAACTGTACTCAGTTTAACAAGAGCCTCACTGCCCTATACTATCTCTCCAGACACTGTTTCCAGACTTCTAAATCTAGAACATTCCTATTTGAGTCCATGACTGGCACAGAGCTGCAAGTGCAGTTAGAATTTAGGCAAATATAAGTCTATTCAAATATCAATCAGAACCCCAATTGAAAATTTTTTTAAAAAATTGGTATTTCAAGTCTGGTCCTGTTGGCAAGGGCACATGACTGCTCGGTTTACAGATATACCCACAAGTGACACAGAAGGCTTAGAACCAGAGTCTGTGTAGAATACTCACAATGCTTCAGCAACCAGAAGCAGTGACAGGCCATGCACCCTCATAGTTCAGCCTGAGATGAGGGTACTAACTCCGTGAGCTGTGCCAAGCATGTGTCCATTCTGGTTCTTTGGTCTGCCTAGGTATCATGGGAGATCCACGACACATCTCTAGTAAATGTTTTCTCTGCTTAACCAAATGAAATGAAATTTTAAATATTCGCTTGACTGGGTCAAAGGTAGCCAGATATTTGCTCAACACTTGATCTGGATGTTTCAGGGAGGGTAATTTTGGATGAGACTAACATCCAAATGTTAAGTGGATGGACTTTGAATAATGGTAATTATTTTCTCTGATGAGAGTGTGAACTTTATCCAATCAGTTGAATGTGGTGGGAAATGTGCCCTGGTGAAGGAATGGGTGTTGGAACATTGTATGATCGAGACTCGATCATGAACAACTTTGTGACTTTATATCTCACAGTGATTCAGTAAAAAAAGATTTTAATTAAATTTTTTTTAAAAAAAGGGGGGGGCTGGAGCGATAGTACAGTGGGTAGGGCATCTGCCTTGCATGCGGTCAACCTGGGTTCTATTCCCAGCATCCCATATGTCCCCTTGAGCACCGCTAGGAGTAATTCCTGAGTGCAGAACCAGGAGTAACCCCTGAGCATCGCCGGATGTGACCCAAAAAGCAGGAAAAAAATTAAATTAAAAAAGAAAGACTGAATGCACCCACTGCAGATCCACAACAATAAGAAACACTATCGGCAGGTGGCCTGTAAGCTTCGATTGCAGCAATGGCTCTTCTTTGGGTCTCCAACCTTTAGACCCATCATATGGTTTATGCTTACTTGTCTCTACTGCAGCATAAATCAAGTTCTACAGTTTTAACACACACACACACACACTGTTGTTTTGTTTCTCTAGAGAATTCTGACCAACAGATGTAACAAAAGTGACTTTTGTTAACTGCAGTCAGCAATTCTGATCCACATATTTTTGTTTTATTTGATTTATTTTTGTTTGGCTGGTGTGAAGAACCCAACCTCAGGCCACATATATGAGCCATAGTCCAGCCTCTTGACCATATGTTTTAAAAAGGGCCTCCTTAGGGAATTCTAGTATAGATACAAGATTTGCTTTTCTAAATTAATTTTTCAATGACACTATTTCTTAGGTCTTCCTTTAAAAAAGACGATCTAAAAAATTTCAGGCAGAGGATCTACTCTATAACTTGCAAAAGTTAGGAAGTTAAGTGCTTCTGCTGTTCCTCCAACATCTGGGTTACAATTAATTACAATACCTTCAGTTTCTATCATGCTCTATTTCTTAAATTCTGATAAAAAAAAAGACAAAGACATCCACAATTTTTTACACTGTCACTGTCACTGTCCTCCCATTGTTCATCGATTTGCTTGAGCGGGCCCAGTAACATTGTGAGACTTGTACCATCTTAACCATTTGCAGCATACAGTTCAATATTCCCAAATATATTTACATGGTTGTGAAACCGATCATAGAACTTTTTATCTTTCAAATCTGAAACTGTGTACCCACTGAAAACAACTTCCCTTTTAGCCAACCCTTATTCTCTCCATTTCCTATTTCTATCAACTCTGCCATTTCAAAGACCTCACATAAATGTGGTTTTCAAAAGTATGCCTCCTGCTGGCTGGAGATCTAAACAAAATATATATTCATCTTTCTGAAACTGCTTAATTTCACATAGCATAAAGTCCTCAAGTTTCATCCTCATTATAACCTGTGACAGTATTGCCTTCCTTTTCATAGTTGAGTAGTATTTCATTGTTTGCGACTATCACATGTTTATCTATTCATTCACTGACAGACATCCCACCGCTTGACTCTTGTGAATAGTGCAGCTATAAACATGCATATTCAAATATCTCTTTAAGACCCAGCTTTTAATTCTTTTAAATAAATACTCTGAAACAGGCTTGCTTTGTCATATAATAGTTTTAGTTTTGGGAGAAACCTCCACCAATCCTTCAGAGTGTCCCACACCATTTTTCCTATAATGTTTTAGCACTCAAATTACTTTTATATTTACAATTTTGTCCTCATAACTCTATGACATAGGTAGAAAATAAGTTATTCCCCATAAAGGGATAACAAAATTTGGAATAGGAGGGTCAAGGACTTAATTCAAAAAGTAGAGCTGTGTTTGCATGAACAAAGCTTTCAGTTTGATCCCCAGCATGAAACAGACCCCCAAGCGTTTCTCGGTGCAGCCTTACTGGCTCCCAGCCCTACTGGGCCTGAGCAACAAGCCATCAGGACACACACTGAGTAACTCTGGAAGTGGCCCCTGGATACCAAGAATCATTGGGGGATGGAGGAGAAGGGGAACAGGGGCACTCTAAAAGATGAGTGTCTGGGGAGATAGTACAGAGATAGTACAGAGGCTAAGGTGTTTGCCTTGCATGTGATTGTGCCTGGAACCTGGCTTGAATTCCCCATATCACATATGGTTCTCGGGTTGGAGCGATAGCACAGCGGTAGGGCGTTCGCCTTACAAGCGGCCAACATGGCCGACCCGAGTTCGATTCCTCCGCCCCTCTCGGAGAGCCCGGCAAGCTACCGAGAGTATCTCGCCCGCATGGCAGAGCCTGGCAAGCTCCCCGTGACGTAATTGATATGCCAGACACAGTAACAACAAAGTCTCCAATGGAGACGTTACTGTGCCCGCTCGAGCAAATCGACGATCAACGGGGAGGGCCTTTTTTACATATGGTTCTCAGCATCACTTGGCATGGTCCCTGAGCACTGT